TAGTGAAGTAGATTAAGAAGATTTCATAGTGATGAGGATTAAGGAGATCTTTGTAGATCTTCAGTTAATTCATTGTGCATTTTGCCCTCAACTACGCACGCGTCCTCCCGCAGTGCTATAATTTTGCCCGAAATCGATCCATTCTAAGGCACGCTCGGATATGTTCAATCATTTGCTCGAAAAAACTGTGCACATGACCACGCCCGTTCAGAACAACTCCTACTTGCCCACCTTGCGCGGACGTGCCGCAAGGTCAGCGGCACAAGGTGTTTGACATGGAAGTAGACAAGAAAGTCAGTCGCTACGTATATGTGACTGGTACCACTTCTGAGAGAATCCCTCAGCGGTGATACCAGTTCAAGAAATGAGAGTTTTTGGCCAAGGAATGGCCGAGATATAGATAGTAGTATGTGAGTCGTCGTGCCTCCATGGTCAGTGGCGCGATATATTCGGTACGGACGTAGGCAAGAAGGTCTGTGGCTGTATATGTGGGACTGGTGCCACCTCTGAGGACATCCCTCAGGGCAACTCCACCGGTTGGGACTTTTCACCAGGCTATACACGGATAATGCTCGGGTAAATGTGAGACTCATGCTGATTCCAGTACTGTAATAAGATTCATTTTCCCCACCCGTCAGACTTATATGCGCGGGACGAACACGCAGTTGGACGCAAAGGTTTTCTTGACCTATCTATAAAACGTGGAAACATTGTTCTAGGCCTTTCGACATCGCAGAAGGCAACTATTGCACTGCGACTACTCTGCTATGGATCTGCTGCCGATGCTTCCGATGAATACCTCTGGTGCAGCAAGAGTATAGCGCTAGAGTGCATAAAAATGTTAATGTTGTTTAATGTGAATTGTGAACATTTTAAATTTTACACTTGGTTTTGTGGTGCCGTCGTTGCTGTATTTAGAGACGAGTACCGTCGAGAGCCAACATGTAGCGATATCGAAAGGCAGTTGTATCAACAGTGAGCGCGGGTTTCCTGGAATGTTCTAGATTGTACTCACATTGTTTGGAAAAACTGCCCCACTGCATGGCATGGTTAGTTTCAAGGGAAGGACTGCATCTACCACGAGCATCCCCTTTGTCAAGACGATCAGCAAAGAACAGGGACGTAATGCCACAGCAAATACCAAGGCCCAAGAACCAGCGCGCAAGGATGTCGAACGCATTTTTGGGGCTTTGAAGGCTCGCTTCCATATCATGGACTGTCCCTGCAGACTATGGCGCCATGCGACGATCGTCTCCGTGTGGGTAGCTTGTGTTATTATGCACAATATGATTGTAGAGAACGCGCTCGAACACGTGGAACCGTGTGACCAAGACTGCGGTCACTTCAAAGTCGACACAACGACCACCGACGAAGATGATTCTCGGTTTGATCGATTTCTTCGTATGAAAAAGACTACTGAGGCGTAGAAAAGTATAATGCGCTGCGTGGAGCCTTCGTTTCCACATCACAAGTGTACAGTATCTAGCTAAAGTCATATTAACTTTTGATATTTCTCATCGTATCTTCCCGCATCTCAGCTCAGTCAAATTACTTTGCATCGCCCCAAGTCTACTCGCATCTCCATACATTTATGGAAAACACAAACAATGGTCATGTTAGTCGTTGTAATATCTAAACATCGGAGTCGTCCGCATCCTTACTAAACTCATCAAGAACACGCTAACAAGTCAAAGCAAAATACTAACTGATGTCCTCGTCCATCGTGTCCAGATTCGCCGACAACAACGATATATGAGTCTGTAGTTCGAACGTTTGCGTGCGGCGGCGCTACTATACTGCCAGAACTTCCTTGAAATCGCTGGCCTTTTTTTCTACGGACCCCACGTCGAGCTTCTGGCGCTTCACAAACTTGCGACCACTGGGACGTTCGCCAACGCCATGTCGTAGTGCGTTCCACTTGGTCACTCAGCGCAAGATGTTCCAGCAAATTCGACAACATAACGTTGCTGCCCTTCGCGTGATTTTCCTTGTATAGGAGTAGGGCTCGATCGATGCGGTCTTCTTCGTTTGTTCCGCTTTCGTGCGTGCTGGCAACAACAGCGTAGGCACCACAAAAATTGACACGTCGCGCTGATTTGGTTCCACTTGGACGCAAGCCATCGATGTGGTCGATCAGAACTGTCGCTCACGATATTGGTTGCGTAGTGAGCCTGCACCCGCACCCAGAATGCTTCCGACTTCTAGCCTGTACCAACATCTGCATCCTGGGCGATGTTTATCCCTGAACGTGCGACCTGTTCCTCGCCATCCTCGGTGAAGTTCTTGCCCTTCTTCGCACTCACTCAAACTGATCATTTTAGGGCCAATTTTATCGTAGCATTACGATTGGCTCCGAAAAGCATGCTTTTGTCCAATGAATTCGCAATCTAATTTAGTGTTTTATTTATGTTTGGTGTCGACTGAAAAGCAGTCAAATTTACTGTGTTACTGTCGTCGGATTTTGTTTTGGCCTCAAATGTAAATATATTGTGTATACAGTCTCCCGGTGGGGATGCAAAATCATAAATATTTTGTCACCCCATTTTTCGTTTTTTCATTGTCTGCTTGAACAAAAATATAAGGAAGTCTAGTACAGTGGTACTCAATTGTACTAGGATTTATATTACCTTACATCAAGGTATTATCCGCAGATAGTATTACTAAGCGATATGGCCAAGCCAATACTATTGTTTAGAGGCCTATTCGACGTAGTTTGCTTGCCAAAATGAGGCATTAGTTTACTGGAAGCAATACTATACTGTCACGTAAGGACAGTGGTAAACATAACCCGCGTTGACCGGGTTATTCCTCTTGACATCGTACTGAATCCCGAGTTAATTCGCGTGGTGCATCTTGACTTTGGACTTCGGACGTAACTGACTCGACTTCTTGCGAACTAATTT